TATATCTTTTTTATTAAAAACATTTGAAAACGAAATGCTACTTAAAAATGTCTTGAATTTATTGATATTTTCTACTGAGTAGCATTTACGATAAGTGTACACAAAGTGTGGGGTTTGAGTTTTACGATGTACACAAAACTTTAAAATCTGAGCAGTATCGTGATCCGATAACCATAATGGCAATACGTAACCAATTCCGTTGACAATGTTACTTATTATTTGGTCAAGGCATGTACTCCCTCTGGTGGCGACCTTTATATGCGAGTTTAGATTATACTTTTGAAGAATGTTACGAAATGTGGAAGTATATTGATTATTTTCCAACATATTAATGTTAAAGTCGCCAGTTACTATTATCCTTTTTTTGGGAAATTTATGCAGACATTTGTGTAGCAGCAAGTCAATTTTTTCGTAGAAATATTCAATATGACGTTTTATTTTAGATGGTATTCTATATATACATATTACTATAATGTTGTTTGAGATCAAATTCACTGCACAACATTCAAAATGGTAAATCATCGTAAGATCCTCAAAAAACGTGATCTTTTTGCAATCAAGTCCTCTTTTAATCAAAATACAAGATCCACCTCTCTTTGTTGGTCGTGAGTAGTTAGAAACTAGTTTATAATTATGGATATTTATATTATTTTCTTGACCAAGTTGTATAAAATGTTCTGTAAAGCATAGCACATCAGGATCAGTATTATTTTTCAAACGGGAAAGGGTTAATTCCAATATTTCCTTTTTAGAGCGTAAACCTTGTATATTCTGATGGAAAATTGTAAAGACTTGACCCGACTTATTCTCGAAAAAACAACTGCCTGTTGCACTGCGACCCGTCACTTCTATATCTACAGTAATTGATGTTTTATTGTTGTTGTTTAATTTTGAGTCTTTTGATGTTTTTTTAAAGTAATAAGGAATGGTCCCTTTTTTAGGTGAGTAGTCGGCCTTTTTTAAAACGATTTTACTTCTTTTTATATGATTTTTAATAAAATCATAAGATAGATAATGGTTTTTATATTCTATATAGTCAACACAAAGATTAATTTTGTCACATAAATAAGTCATAGGATTAACATAATTATAAAAAGGAAACATGTCAATAAACGAACAGTGTGGAAAATGTTTTGTCCAAAGTCTAATATTATAATTTAATGTCCATTCGTTTAAATAAGGATTATTATATATTGGAACTAAAATGACTGAATTTTTTTTTAGGTTATTTAACATTATACAAATATTGGAATGTAATAAGTGAATGTTATGATCATGACGGCCAAGACCCAGAATTACAATGTCACTATCATTCAGATTTTTCGTTATGTCATTCCAATTTTTCAATATTACTGTGCTAGTGGCGCCAGAAAATATGTTAGCGTAGGTTTTATACGCCGGTTCGCGTTTTTGTAAGTTCGATTTCATGAGGTTTACAGACAAGCCTCTTAACAGCTCATCACCAATAATATATATTTTCTTGCTGGTATCTTGACTTAAAGACAGCGCTTTATTACGTGGTGATTTCTTCGAAGTAAGATCTATTTTGGAACTAGTGGCGACATCTATCGGATCTATCGGTGGGCTGTTGGGGCTGATGTTGATTTTTATCTTTGATTCTTGGTTTTGTGTTGGCGTTTTTTCCACATGTGAGAACGTAATTTGATTATTATTATTTTTTGGCTTGAGCTTCTTTTTAGCTGTGGTATTCTTTGGCGTTGTTTTGCAGATGTGTGACAACTGATTTATTTTTAATTCATATTCTGCCAGTTTTTTTGATAGTTGGTGATTTTCGGATACTAAAATTGCTATCTCGTTTTCAGCTATTTCTAGTTTCTCTTCTAAATTAATTGTTTTTTGCTTTAGATCTTCCAATTTTTCTTTACAGTTTGATTGCAACTTAGAAAAACTTCTGTTTAAGTCAACATTTGGTGTAGATGATATGGACGAATATTCGACTTCATCGTCAGAAAGAACTTCAAATGAATTTTGTGTAGGTGTATTTAATTCAACTTTTTTCTTCGGATCTCGACGAGTAACATTTGCCTGTTCGTGGTCGTGTGTTGTCGATTTACGTTGGGGTGTTAAAGTACATCGATCACACTTGAAGGCCTTTTTACTTGCAACAGTCATAATTTTGAATCGACGAAATGTTACACTGGTACAGTCTAAATGAAAATGACTATTGCACAGCGAACATAACAAATATTGCTTGTTATTAATTTGTTTGTTACAACCTGAACAGCTCAGAGCCATCTTGCGGAGAAATTGCACACTATTGCGTTTAATGCTTGAAGAGTACTGTATTAGTATACTTGTCAAGGTTCACAAAAATATTGATATGCACGTTTATTTGCCTCTTCGTTGGGTAGATGTCAGTACAAGTTAACAATAAGGTCAGCTGATGTGTTTGTGTGACAGCGATAACACCCTATTTAAAATTCTCAGTTCAAATATTGTAACGGCACACAATTTTCACATTATAATTTCAATTTCGATTAATCCTTCGATGTTTATAAAAAAGGCTTAGTTAAAAAATCACTGAACATGAGCGTTTTGTTATTTGTTGTAGATTCATACCTGATAGATTGATTTCTTAACAGATAGCCGCTTTCGTAGTGTCACAATATGTATGGTAAATATTTCTTGATTTACTTTGTTTCGCACTTTGCCAATAATAACACATAGAAAACACCCTTGAATCAACTTGTTGAAAGTTTTAAACCATTGAAAATATCATTGATTTTATTTTCCTGATTATTAAATTACAGAGCTCACTGTTTATCTGACGGCAGCGCCATCTATCCTCTAGCAGAAAGATATGATTTTATTAGATCAAGTGAATTTTTCGTCACACCATAATGCTCTAAATGGAAGAATGGAGATAGGTCTAAAGTCAGAAAAGGATTTCTGAAGGCGTTTTTTAGGAAGAGGAATAATTTGAGCGTTTTTCCAAGCAGAAGGAAAAACAGACTTTGAGGTAGAATTATTGAAAATAAGAGAAAGGACAGGAAGTATGAAATCGAGTATAGGTGTCAACATATTACGGCTCATTCCATCAGCGCCGACCGCATTAGAGCTAATGGATAAAATGCTCTTCTTAACATCACGTAATCATTCCGTAAATTGAGTAAATATATAAGAAGAATAGTCAGGTATTGGTAGAGTAGAAAGTTGTTGAACAGTTCGGTTTTTATCTGATTCACAGGGATCAGATGACGAAAAAAAATGAGTATTTAGTGAATCAATATTAATATGATTAGGTACGGAGTCTTGAGGTATTTTACCAACCTCAAGAGACCTGAGGAATTGCCAGACTTTAGTTGGATCTTCCTCTTCGACGGAATTGTGAATGTGGCGACGTAAGGCATCCCTACACACCATATTGCAGTGATTACGAACCTTGTTGTACTTTTCCTTATTGAAGTCATTCGGACGACGTTTGTAATTGCTTTTAGCTATGGCTTATTTATGGATCAGCGCTTTTATATCATTATTTAGCCATGGAGCAGGGAGATGCTTGAGTTTAATGGGGCGAAAAGGTGCATGTTTGTCATAAAGTTGAGTAACGAGGTTATTGAAAGTAGTAATTTGTTCATCGACTGAGTGGGAATTTGTAACAAGAGACCAATCAATTTCACGAGCATCGTTCATAAAAGAGACCTGATCCATACCACTAAAATTGCGCTGAAGTATAACCTTGGGCTTTATTTTCGGAGGCCTAATTTTATAGGATAGAAATATTAAATCATGGTATGAGAAAACATCGGCTGAACATTGACCGTGTTTAGAAACATGTTGGATTGAAGAAACTATAAGTAAGTCAAGTAGAGATGGGGTCGAATGCGGAAAACGCTGTGTGACTCCAAGTAGAAGAATGTGCAGATTGCTAGATCTGATAACAGACTGAAGGGAAGAAGCTCGAAGAACATTTTTGAGAAGGGAAGTGAAGTCACCCATAATCATAGAATGGTCATAAGACGGAATAAATTCGTCTAAGAGCTTTTCAAAAGAGGAGAAGTAATTAACTCGAACTGACGGACTGTAATAGACACCGAGCAAGAATCTGAAACGTGAAAGGGTTACCTCAATAAAGAGGTGCTCGCCAGCATTATTTGGTGGTGGCTGAGTGGACACACTAATTACTTTGTAAGGAATGTTAGTACGCAAATAAATAGAACTCCACCTCCGCCACGTCCGGTACGATCATTACGTATTATTTGGAAACCAGGCAGAGTATAGAAGGAAGAAGGTAAGCAGGGCTTGAGCCATAACCCGGAGACTAAAACAGCGGGAAGATTTTTGTGATCAAACGCCGCCTGCATATCATAGTAATGAGCTGGAATACTCTGCGCATTGATATGAACAACAATGAAATTCTTTGGTACATCGGAAAACTGAGTATCAAGTGAATCGGAAACAGAAGGAGGTATACTAGTATTAATTTACTTATTATAGAGGAATATTTTTTTTCCAGTGCAAAAATTTTTTTGGTGATTCAGTATCAGTAATAGAACGCTTTTCCATAATTAGTTTATTTTTTTTTAAATATTTTTATCCCTATCGAAACGGTAGAATATGGACACATTTTTTAAAACTTCAATGAAAACGTCTTCTCTTGCTGGGGCCACACTACCGGGAAATGCCATTAATTATCGCGTTAAGGGACGTTAACCGTAGATGTAGCCACGACTTAACGCAATAATTTGACAACGGCATTTACATTGTCGTTTGACATTAGGCGATAATTCAAGTGGCGGTACATCAAAGAGAATAACGTGAGAATTAATGCGATAAAGCGGTCACACTACGCCAGTCAGTGTGCGTCGTGAGCACGATGGGATCGCACGTGTGTTGTGTTTGCAATACATACTATGGAGTGGAGTAACGAGAAAGTAATTGCGTTTCTCGAGCTTCTGCAAACAGAACCATGTTTGTGGGATCCAAAACTGAAAAGTTTCAAGAATCGAGGAACGCAAAGTAATGCTTGGCGCCGATTGATGGAATTAGTACCTTTTGAAACAACTATTGAAGAAATGAAAAAAAAGAAGGAAAGCCTGATGAGTTACTATAGAACCCATTTAAACAAAATTAAAAAATCTTTGAAATCAGGAGCTGGCAAAGATGACGTGTATACAACTAATTGGTTTGCTTTCGAAACGATGGACAATTTCCTACGAGGAGTATATGACGGTGGCCGCACGTTTAATACGCAGGTAAGTTATAATATTAGTCTGTCAACAGTAGTGAGTGTCTGTATATTAGGGATCTATATTTTTTTTGGTATTAATGTATTTTTAGGATTCTGTACTAAAATAATTACAATTAATGGTTAATTACGTCTCGCTTATCGAGATATTTTTATTTCACGCATGGATGGGTCAATAAAGTATTACCAACTAAGTCGGATATTAATTTGATTCCAATTTTAATACACAAAGTTTATACTATTTATAAATATTTACGTAATTATTGAAACTTCATAAAAAGTTCAATTCTTTTTTATTGTAAAATAATCACATTCCTATTTATGTATAAGCCATTTTATTTAGAGTACCTAGGTACCAGTCCGAAAAATACTACATAGTTGGAACCCTATTGCTATCACTCAGCTGTCTGTCTATTCATCTGTCCGTTCTTCTGTCTGTTCATCTGTCCTATATAACATTCTTTTATTTTCCTTTCAGACACACGACGACATTGAGAATCTAGAAAGAAGTGAGGAAAAAAATAATGGAAATCAGAATAGTCATCATTTTTCTACTGGAACAGAAGAAGCTTCGCCAAATATACAAGAAAATGAAACTCGTCTAAAAGAAAATAAATCTCAAAATTATAGTAAAAAAAGACAAGCGAGAGATGAGTTGCCTCAAGAAATCAAAGCAGCGCGACGCCAAATGGATGAAGCTTTTGAATTCATGAAAGAGAATAAAGATGATGAATATTACATGTTCGGAAGACTGCTCGCAAGTAAACTAAAAAAAATAAGAAATCCAAACACGCGTGAGATATTAATGAATGATATTCACAATTTAGTCTTTCGTGCATGTATGGCAGATCGACTTGAGCAGCAGTCTGCAGTACCTCAGTTTTCTAAAGCCCTGTCTCCACACCATCAAGCATTCAGCCCATCACCAAATCATCAACCATACCAGTCGCCTCCAGGCCCCTCCACATCCATGTCACTACACTATCAAGCATTAAGCCCATCACCAAATCATCAACCATACCAGTCGCCTTCAGGCCCCTCCACATCCATGTCACCACACTATCAAGCATTCAGCCCATCACCAAATCATCAACCATACCAGTCGCCTCTACCTCACGATGCAAATAGTCTATCTCCAGATCAGTTTTCAGTTCAAACTCACCAAGAGAATTACCTAGAAATACCACCGCCAACTCGTGCCTCACAAATAGTAATTACAGAGTCCGGTGAAATGCAGATAATTAAAGATAAATAAAAATTGTAAATGCCATGTTAATTACTTCAAGTAACAAATAAATGAAAGACAATATATATAGTATGTCGTTTTATTTTCCAAAGTAATAAAAACAAGATATTCATTTATTTGAATACGCAAAGGGGTACTTCCTCTTGCTCCCCCTTGCTCTGCTCCTGAGGGGAGCACCTATTTTGTGTTGTCGACACTTACAAATTATTATTCGTGGTCATGAAATGTTCTGCGAATTTATTCCTTATCTGGATTGCTGTTAAAGATGAACGTCGCGCAATATTCTTCATTGGCTTGAAAGCGCCTTCGCCTTCTCCAATGTCTTTTCTCCAAGTTCCAGGATTGGTATTCCTCCGTTGACGACTGTGTCAGTGTAGCCCGATGGGGTATAAATTGACCGTGAGTTTGAACTTTTTCTTAAAAAGTTATGTAATAAAGCACATGTCATTACAACTCTTGAAGCTTCGCTTGGTTGTAGAGCTATAGGTTTTCTAAGTACTCCAAATCGTGCAGACATAACACCAAATGCGTTTTCCACAACAATACGAACAGAAGCAAGTTTACGATTGAAATTTCGTTCCATACTTCCTTGAGGGTGGTTTGGAGGGTGGTGGACTCCGGGAAAAGGTTTTATTATGTTTGGGTGTAATGGAAATGCATTGTCAGCAACAAAAACGTAAGGCATATTCAGATCGCCATCAGAAAGTGGTTCAGGTTGCGGTATGTTTAAGGAATTTGTCTGAAGTTTTTCGAATAAAACACAATCTCTGAATATACCACCATCACTGATTCTACCCTTACTACCTATATCGCAGAACATGAAACAAAAATTACGATCCACTAAGGCCATCAACACAATACTAAACGAATGCTTATAATTAAAATAGTCAGACCCAATAATTCACATTTATTCCATAGTGTTCCTGCAAAATATAAAAAAAACTTGAATATTATGAATGCTTGACATAAATATGTTTGCTGTCCATGGACCATGGTACTGATATTAACATAAAAATAACATAACAGCATAAAATAGACAGTTTAACATGGTAATACTAGTCATTCTAATATTTGAAACATTAAGCTAATAGACATAGAAAGACTTACAGTGTACGATTCCTGTGCATTTGTATCATCCACCATCTTCTTTTTCTTTGTTTTCTTTTTTTTTTCATTCGATAATGATTCAATAAATTCAAACAATAAAAATTTACACTCATTAAATACAGAGCTCGGTCAACGTTCATCTTTGCCAGTTACTGAGCAGAAGCCGCCTCCCTCTCACAAGAAGAAAGGACGCATGAAAGAGAGGGATTTCAACTCTTCGGCGGTTATGCTCACCCTATCCCCTGAGGCTGAGGCTAAAGGGCTAACATACGGGGGAGTTATTACGAGGGCAAAAGAGAGGATTAGTTTGTCAGAGCTGGGAATTCCGGGCATCAGGTTCGGAGTCGCGGCCACTGGGGCTAAATTGCTTAAAGTCCCAGGAGCTGGTAGTGACGAACAGGCCGACAAACTAGCAAGCAAATTGAGGGAGGTTTTAGGCAGTGAGGTTAGGGTCACGAGACCCGTCAAGCGTACTGACCTGAGGCTGACGGATCTCGACGATTCCATCACGCTCGATGAGGTGATGGAATCGTCGAGATCTGTTTCAGGTGTGGCCTAGAGGGCACAAGGCAGTCGATTGTTGTGGGAAGATGCACTGCGCGGTTTGCACGGCTGCCTTACTGCCCGCGAATCATGTGATGGGGAGCAGGAGGTGCTCCCCTCCACAAAAGAGGATACGGTCTGTTCCCGTGCCTGCAGGCGCTCGTACGGAACCGGTTGATGACTCCTCCGATGGGATGGACACACAATAGTGTGTCTGTTCGTTGGAGGGGGGACAACCGGAGCGGCTAACGGTTTGACTGGTTCCCTGGCAGGGTTACGTCTGCCGGGTGCGCATGTGTCACCGTTGGTAAGAGGAGTCTGAGGAGTCGGCCTGCGTTTCGCAGGTAAGGGGATTTCCTCTGTGGCCCCGGTCTGGGAGCCCGGCTCGGCCGCCATACACACCGCTTTGGTGTGTGTGGCGGCCGGTCCGGGCGGTACAGATAATACTGAAGACATAAACTCTTTCCCTTTGTCGGTTATGATTTCGTTCGGGATGCCATAGCGTAGCACAAAATTATTTACAAAACATTTAGAGACTGTAATAGTATTTTTCGTCCTAAGAGGATACGCTTCTATAACTTTACTTAGATCACACATACTTAAAACCATTATTATCTATATCTAAGGGGCCCATTAAATCTAAGCTAATTCTTTGAAAAGCTGAACTAGCAGTTGTGGTAATTACCATTGGTTCCTTAACTTTCTTATTTTGGAACTTATTTATTTGGCAAGTCCTACACTTTTTTACAAAGTCACTGACGTCATTAGTTTGTCCTGGCCAGAAGTAATAGTTCTTTATATTATTGAGCATTCGATTTATCCCTGCGTGTCCGCTAGTTGGTAATAAATGAAAGTCGCTTAAAATAACTTTTTTATCGTCGTCATCAAAAATCCTCAACACGTCTCTGGTAACGAGAAAACGCGGTAAAGTAAGTTGCAACCTCTTCATTTACCACAATAGGGACCACACATACAATCTTACGGTTCCTAAAGTGGTGACCCCAGCAGAACATCAGCAACCTTCAACATCAGCAACCTTCAGCATCAGCAACCTTCAGCATCAGCAAACTTCAGCATCAGCAACCTTCAGCATCACAACGCAGCCATCACCCTTCACCATCAGCCTCTCATCCCTCACCAGTACAGCCACTTCAGCAGCAAGTCAGCCAACACCAAGGTCCATCACAGCAGCATCGACGACGCTTCCTGGATTCTTGGTACCACACGACGGCATCACTCCGACCTGGTCTACGCAGGCCACGACCGGACCTCAGTTCACACACAACTCACCGGCGTGGCAACCCTGCACACCAGCAGCTTCGGCCCCGACGTCACAACCATGGCACTTGCAAGCTCTGAAGCACTGACTGCATACCACCTACTATCAACATGGATCGACCTTCGGTCTAGGGGGAAAGTACTGTGGTAATAAATGAAAGTCGTTTAAAAAGGCATTCTCTGCCAGTCTACCAGTAACAGATGTTGGAGTCAGGATGTTAGGCGATAAGACTAAAAAGCAAAACACAAAAAAAACAGTGGCCAAAAAATTATTACAACAAACAAATTGATGAAAGCATAATACTATATATACCAAAACAAATATATATGTAAATATAGACAAAATATAAATATATATATAAAATATAGAATACAGAACGCATATGAAATAATTATATATATAAAGATAATGCTCATGCACCAATCTCTTAAAAACCATTCTACTCTGAGCAGTTTTAATATGAGCTGGGAGAGCATTTCAAAGGCGAATAGCTGTCAGAGTAAAGGATTTGGAAACAAAATCAGTATGATGAACGGGAGTTTGAAGAATGAGGTTGCTACTAGAGCGAAGATCACGTTGATGACTGGAACCAAGATATTGAAGTCTAGATTTCAAATATCCAGGGGTACATGGATCGTAAAGTATTTTGAAAAACATACAGACAACTCGCAAGTTCCTGCGTTGGTGGATAGTTAACCATCCGAGTAGTTTCCTGTATTCAGAGATGTGATCGTATTTACGAAGGCCAAATATAAACCGAATAGAGCTATTAAGCAAACGATCCAATTTGTTGAGAAGAAATAGACTAGTGCCAGAATAACAGATATCAGCGTAGTCGAGAAGCGGGAAAACAAGGGTCTGTGGTAATGCAATTTTGGTGCTGTATGGGAGAAAGAATTTAAGTCTATATAGTGATCTAAGCGTATTCACAACTTTACGACACACTTTAGCAACCTGCACCTCCCAATTGAGAGAGCAATCAATTTGAAGACCTAAATTTTTAAAACTGGACTGAAACGTCGACAAAACATAAGTGTCGACATAACTGTTCTAAGTCTCTCGCTAACACCTGCGCTCGATCGATGCTAACGATCGAGGGCATAGAAATATCGCTGATTGCGATGGAACAAACGTACATAACTTTCCCATGGAAATTATGTTATCATTATTCATTAGACATTTTTCATTATATTTTTTAGTAAAAATTAATTCTACAATATCGTCAGCTCGTTTCAGAACTTCCATAGCCGCAGGTTGATCAGACCTTAAAGCTGTGAAAGGTTCTGTAGTCTGTCTGTCATTGGCAGCGCTCGTTAGTTGCTGTCGCTGAACTCTTGTTAAAACAGATGTCACATGGTCGCGCATTTGCTTGAAATCGTTGGACGTTAACGGGAGTCGACTTAACGCATCTGCAGCAGCGTTATTTTGACCCGGAACATAATCAACTTCGAAGTAATATTCTTCGAAATGAAGTCGGAACTTATTTAAGCGACTTGAAGGGTCGATTAAACTAAATAAATAAATTAAAGGTTTATGGTCGATGCATATTTTAAATTTCCTACCATACAAGTACGGACGGAAATGTCGTACTGCCCAAACAATTGCAAGTAGTTCAAATTCGATAACGGGGTATCTACTTTCGGCGGGTTTCAGGTTACGACTCGCGTAAGCTACGACTTTACCATTACTATTTGATAATATTGCGCCTAACCCAATTTTAGACGCATCCGTCTGTAATTTGAAAATATTATTTTCAGAAAAATCTGGATATTCAAGAACGGATGGACTAGTTAGAGCAATTTGCAATTTTTAAATGCAGTTTCACATTGAGCGTTCTATTCGAATTTAACACCTTTTCTACATTATATATTTAACGGATAGACAATACTTGAAAAGTTACGAATGAATTTCCTATAATAGTTTGCGAAGGCTACAAACCGTTTAATTTCGTCAGCGTTTGTTGCATTGCATATCCAGATATGCAAGGAGGAGGACTAGTCAACAGTATAATTGACAGTTTACCGTTTGAACTACATTTTCCTGGATATAACTATTGTGGACCAGGGACCAAGTTAAAAGAAAGATTAGCGAGAGGTGATAAAGGAGTCAATGAATTAGACGAAGCCTGCAAATTTCATGATATTGCGTACATAAACACCGATTCAAACAGTAGACATAAAGCAGACTTGGAACTACTCAG